GTCTTTGAGGTTCATCTAAGGTTTAGCACATATCAGAGTGTCCTTTTTAAAGACTGAATGATATTCCAGTATATGTATAAACCACATTTTGTTTGTCTACCATCTACCCATTATTGGGCATTTTAGATTGTTTCTACCTTTTGGATATTGTGAATATTACTACTACTACCATGGACATTAGTATACAAGTCCAGTCATGCACTGCTTAGTGATGGGGACACATTCTGAGAAACAGACGATTTTGTCATTGTATGAACATCATAGTGTACGCTTAACCTAGATGGCAAAGGTCAACACTCATCACAGCCTCCAGATACAATCAAGAGACATGGTGGGGCTGGGGTTGTGGCTCAGGGGTAGAGTGCTCACCTAGCACGTCCAAGGCCCTGGGTTTGATCCTCAGCACCATATAAAAAATAAATTAATTAATTAAAAAAAAGAGACATAGTAAACAAGAGGCATGAGCCTGCTGCCTGGGTGACACAAGCATACTTTTATGGTCAGCTTCTTAAAAAAAAATAAGTGTAAGGGGTGCACTCTGAAATAATGATAAGAAATATATGTGGTAAATACATAAACCAATAACATAGTGGTTTATTATCATTGTCAAATATTATGTACAGTACATAATTGTAATTCCTATACTCTTATACAACTGGCAATAGACTAGGTTTGTTTATGTATTGGCATCACTACAAGTGTGAGTAACGTGTTGTGCTGTGACCTTATAATGGCTGTGACATCACCAGGTGATAGGAGTCTATCAGTTTCATTGAAATATTACAGGACCATCCTTGGACATGTGCCTCATTGTTGATCAAACCATCGTTATGTGGTGCCTGGCCGTGCCTGAATTCTTGCTTCTAATTCTTTTGAATTAAGAGTGGAACTGCTGAGTCATATGGTAATGATATGTTTAACTTTTTGAGGAACCATGGAACCATAGTACTAACAAGGTGATTTGGGGAAAAAGGGGAAAAATGTGCATCTTGGAGAATCATGATGCACATTAGCGTAGGGAAGTCTCTGGGAAGTCCTAAAGCAAAGACATCTATGCAACACTGACCCATCATTCTTCAAACTAATTTGATGGTGGAACCCTTTTGGCAGAATAACAAGGAACATACCATCTCCTGCTGGTTTGGGAAACAGTGTTCTTGGCTTGGCAAGCCTGCATGGAAAGGGTTATCGTGCTGTGTGTCATTGTGTATATCATAGTGTATGCTCACACAAACCCCATTGCAATTGCATTGGTCATTCACTCCTTGTGGCCTCTGGATGCAATAACAGACATGGAAATCAAAATGCATGAAGCTGCTAACCATATGGTACAGCATACAGTTTTACACTCAGAGCAGAGATGGGACCACCTGGGTCCCTCTAATTAACCTATTGGGTGACTTTCTTATCTTGATGGTTCTGTACATGCTCTGTTCTCTCTGGTGTGCCCTTCCTCTGCTTCTTTGATTCTTGAAGTTCTACTTTCTCTTCAGGGTTACTTCAGACACCCTCTCTCCCCTTCTGTAAAGCAAGGTGCTTTTTGACCCTGTCCTTCTCTCTCTCCAAGAAGGAATTGGGAACCCCTCTTCTGCTGTTCTTATACACAGGTGTCCTGTTGAATAGCCCTGTCTCCACTATATCAAAGGAGTTTAACTTCAGTTTGCCTAAACAAGGACCTAAAGAACTTATTAAGATACAGATGCCTCCATCTCACTAAAAATTCCAATTCAGTAACTCTTGATGTACATTTAGTAGCTCTAGAATGTGCATTTTTAACAAGCCCAAGGCAAAATTCTCAGGCACATGATTCTCAGAATCCCCTTTAGCTATGTGAAGATGAGCCACCTCTGCTTTTGTTTATTTTTCATATAGTAGTCATAAAATAAATGTTGAATGAGTAAATGAATGAAAAAAACTCCAATTTCCTCCTCTGTAAAATGACGGAGTCACTCAGTTTTCTCCTAATTCAACTTCTCTTTAAAATTTTTGAATTATTTTACTCCAAATACCTGTACCCTCTGTAGTCTAAGTAGCAGACATACAAAATACAAATCTTGTGAAGCCATCAGGGAAACCTGCTGAAGAGGATTTAGTCCCAGCTAATATTTAGCAAATGACTCAGGACTCACAAAGAACCATATTTTGGGAACAACCAATTTTATCACAGGCTAGAGACACAAAGAGAGGCATACACTTGCACCCATGTGAATTCAGCTTCATTCTCTCCTGTAAGTATGAGAACCCAGCAGGCACACTATCAGGCTTGACAAGCTCCCAAGTTAGGCAATTAGGGAGCTGGGAATTATGGGAAATCAGGGTCAAGGAGGAGGGCTTGGGATGGTCAGCTGCCATCTTGCCAGGCAGAGGGCACAGACCGTCAGAGCTGTCAGAGACCCTGACTCTGCTACAACCACTTCTCAATGGATAGAACCCAGGGCCTTGCTCAGTGGAGCATGGGCTCTACCACTGATACACCCCCAGCTCTCTGTGGTGTCTTTGACTTTCCTTTCCCTGTAGGTTTCAAGAGGCAATTCCAGCTTCTTATAAGAGCTGTGGCCTAAGAAAAATGAAGTCTCCCATTACTTATAACCTCTCAGCATTTCAGAGGAAAAAGGTTAGCTATGGCTGCCAAGATCCAGCAAATATTTGGTTAGCTTGGAAAGAATGGGTGCTCATTTTCCAATTCTCACAGATTTCTCGATGCCCAGTTCCTTTTATTAAAAACGTTAAATCCAGAGATAAAGTCGAATGGCACTCCAGGCTCTAAGCATTCATCTGTATCCCGGGGAGCAGAACCCAAGATCTAAACAAAGAAAAGCTAAATCAATAGAACTCATGAATTTCCTCTAGGAACAGGACCCAAATGTAGCAGAAGAATAAGCAGAGAGGCTCCTCTCTGCCGTTTTCTTTGAGTGGGTATTTATGGGAAAGGCTAGGGAATGTTCTTTCGATTGATGAGGGACAGCAACCATGCCTACTGCCTACGGCCTTTTTATTTTGTACAACCTGTGAATTAAGAATCTTTTCTTACCTTTTTAAATAGTTGGTAAAAAAATTAGAAAGAGAATATTTTATGACATCTGAAGATGAGATGAAATTCAGATTTGCATTCCATAAATAAAGTTTTATTGGAACCCAGCCACACCCGTTTGTTTGCATATTGTCTATGACTGCTTTTGAGCTACACTGGCAGAGTAGTTCAGACAGAGACCAGATAGCCCTCAAAGCCTAAAATATGTACCATCTGCCTCTTCACAGAAGTTTGCATACCTCGGGAGAAGGGGATGAAAGACTTGCTGCTCACTGTTATTTGATGGAATACTACAAAACATATATGTACAGTTAAATAATTATAAAGCAAACATCTAAATAACCTAACATGTGGATCAAGAAATAAAACCTGTTGGTCAGCAGCCCAGGAGTCCCCTATGTGCCTTTCTCCCCAACTGGAGTTGATAAGTATCTGGGTAATATTTTCCCTGCTGTTCTGTATACCACCAAAACTCTGTAATTGAATTTGGCTTGTTTTGAAGTATGTGCTAATAGAATAATATTGTGTATTTGCCTCTGTCTGCCTCTCTCTGTTTTAGTCAGCTTTTTTTTTTTTTTTTTTTTTTGCTTCTGTGACTAAAAGATCCGACCAGCACAATTGTAGAGGAGGAAAAATTTATTTAAGGGATCATGGTTTCAGAGGTCTCCATCCATAGATAGTGGACTCCATCCCTCAGGCTCAAGATGAGGCTGAACATCATGGAGGAAGAGTGTGGCAAAGGGAAACAGCTCACATGTCGATCATGCTTGCATGTCGATCATGCTTGCATGTCGATCATGCAGACAGCAGAGAGAGCAACTCCACTCACCAGGTAAAAATATATACCCCATAGCCACGCCCCCAATGAACCACTTCATCCAGCCACACCCCACTTGCCTCCAGTTAGCACTCAGTTAACCCCATCAGGGATTAATTCACTGATTAGGTTAAGGCTATAACCAAAACATTTCTTCTCCTCTCTCACATTGTCTCACTCATGAGCTTTTGGGAGACCGTAACACTAAACCGTAACACTCTAGTTTGTGAGGCTAAACTCTTGAGTTATTTTGTGTGGCTATAATCCTGTCATTTCTTTTGCCACACAGCTTTCACCATGTCACTCAGGCAGGGTTCACTGGTTCATTTTATTCTTGGTGGACAGATGGGTCATTTCCAGTTTAGGGCTGCTATGAAGCTATCACTATGAACATCTTGTATCTGAGCAGTTTGACTTTGCAGTTTCTCAAGAAGAGTGGAATTGTTGGGTCATTGGATAGACATTTCTTCAACTCTCCTATTTAATGCTGAACTGTTCTCCAACAGGTTGGACCAAATCACTCCCACCAGCCAATGTAATTTTAAGAAGTATAGGAGCTCTTTGCATCTTCTCAGTCAGAGCCTTTTCTACCTACAAATCCTGAACCACAAGGTGTCTGTTCACTCATCCCGAGGAGCCTGACAGGGTGGGCACATGAGACCCTTGTCTCTTATGTTTTTTCCTTTCCTTAAAATCATTATAAAGTCTTAAAAATGTATTGAGAAATTCAGCTAAGAATGTTCCAGATGGGCTTTGAGATTCCTGTGCTTGGCTAACAGGCCATCCAGGTGGGAGACTATCTTGACCCCTCCCATCCACTCAATGGATGGACCCAGAGGAAGGATAGGATGGGGACACCAGGAAATGGGTCACTGCCCCTTTCTGATCTCCCAAGGAATCAGAGGATTGAAAAGTCAGGGAATCATCTCCTGAGAAGCCCCTGCTTGTGTCTTGCTGTGTAGGGTTTTAGGAAAATGGGGCTACAATTCCCCTCCTCCCACCTCCAGCATGCTGAAACCCGCACTCCGAGTACCAAGCACTAGAGGCATTTCTGAAGCATGATGTAGCGCTACATTGAAAAGGCACAAATAAACCCCAAACCCTAGCACACATTTATCCAGTTTGTGAAGCGGATTAATAGAATAACCAATAAAACATGTATAAAAGCTTTAATTAAATCTGATGAAATAAAACTTCATGTTTTATTTATGGACACTCCCAACATGTAAAGGATTCGGGGAGACATTCATTTTTACTGCCATTTCGTCCTCATATCTATAATTAAATCCAGGCTGCAGCTCTGGCCCAAAGCAATGCGGCATTTTAAAGCTGGCCTTGGACCCTTCCCCCTCCCATCTGCTTTTAATTATAATTACCATCCCAATACATAGGAGGCTGATGGCAAAACAAAACAAAATAATAAAATAAACAAACAAACAACAGTCTCACTGCCATTGTGTTTCAAAGCAATATGCCAAAGGAGATCTCAGGCAGGAGGGCGTATTCTCTATTTCCAGTTTTATTCTGTACCAAGTGCACAATCCCTTCATTTCACTTTTGACATATAAAAAGGACTTCATGAAACAAGACAAAATAACTTACGATTATATGAAACATAACTGTGACAAATCACAAAACTATACATATTAATAGAAAAAAAGTGTACCTAATTCTTTAAAAGATTTATGACAATAAGCACCAGATGTGCCTCAAGAGTAAAATCGGCCCCATATCCAGTATGATATACGCAGTTCACTTCTCTACGTGAGTGTATATAACTATGTACAAGAGCTGTGTGATTTATGGAAAACAGATTTCCACTTTTTCCCCCCAAAGTGCTTTATGTCAGCAACATTACACAGGATGCTTTGCTGTCTATACAAAATAAATCTCTTATTTTTTACACTCACCATTTCTCCAATGAGTTTGGTTTTTCTTTTTTGCTTTATCCATAGCAAAAAAAGAAGAAGAAGAAGAAGAAGAAGAAGAAGAAGAAGAAGAAGAAGAAGAAGAAGAAGAAGAAGAAGAAGAAGAAAAAAAAGAAGAAGAAGAAGGTAACTGCAGAAATTCCACACCACCAAAAAAAGTGCCATTAAGAAATGCTGCTATAAAATGATGTGGTCAAAACAGTCAAATAAAATACCAAATAATTACACTGAACATTTACAGTCACTATTCCCAATACTTTGTGGCAACTGGAAAAGTCCAGGTTCTCTGAGGGGAGAGTTGAACAGTTATCCTTGTTCAGAACTGGTATCAGTGTACTTGTTGTACTTGACAGCTGCTAATTCAAAAACAATGGAACAAAACCAACACTCCATTATCAGTGGATCTATGCTGTGACCTACTGAAGACTTCTCTTCCATGTTAAAATTACCTATGTAATTTGGGGAAGACATGGGCAAAGGGAGAGACCTGACAAGCCCATTAAATATTTAAATAATCTTTAAATGCTGATCAGAGGCTAAATTACAAGCTACATTTTGATGCAGTCCCTTTAGGGAATCAAGATAATGCAGCAAATGAAATAGAGGTCTCTAAGTGTACTGATTTTTTTTTTTTTAATTTTTCAGTGTAATAGGATAATTGGCCAAAGGGGCTGTGTGTGTTTTCACAAGCACCGCTTTTGTTGTTGTTGTTTGTTTGTTAGTTTGTTCTTAAAGGGGAATGACAATCTCTGGATGCTTATGAAAATGGCTACATATGGAGACTTAAAAAGGCCAGTAAATGGAAGGAAATGATTTTCTGAAGTTCTACTTTCACTGATACAAAATTCTGGTGAAAGTACATAAAAATCTTCTGCAGTGTGAAAGGAAGCAAGGGACAAATTTTAAGTCAGAGAAATTCTGGAGTCTAAGGACAGCTTGTGTAGTCTGAAGGAACCTGAATGTGTCATGTCCTAGGCCCTGATTGCCAACCTGCAGTCATCAAGAAACTCTGAGGAGCCATACTGGGCCCTGCTCCTTGCATGTTCTCTCTGACAGCACATATCTCTCTTAGGGGCCAGGCCTTGAAATCCTTCTGAGAAAGGAGGAGCTACAGGTGCTGCTGCCACCTGGCCATTCTTTGGATCCCCCCAAACCCAGCTTAGACAAGGAAGAATCAGGGTCACTGTGATAGACCACCATGAGACCAGAGCCTGGTTCACAGCATCTCCTCTCAACCAAAGAGGTATATGACATCCCTGATCTCTGAGGTTCAGCATCATGCTTTGTCCTTTCCCCTTTCTACTTGAAATTAATTAAACCACAAAGCAGGGCTGACAGCATCAACTGCAATAACAACCATCCATGCCTTAACATCATTTTTCTCCTCATCACACAAATAAAATACATTTTGAGTTACTTGTAAAAGCTTCAGTATTTAAGAACAGCTATATGGTCTCTCTAAAGATAGCAGAGTCTTCCCTTCTTTCCAGAGTGTGACAGAGGACAAATGAGGGATACTAGTGACGGAGCCAATGTTAGCATGCATGTTTCCTTGCTTAGGCCAAGTAACACAACCCACCAAGTTTGTAGCAGGGTGGGATTTTACATGCAGCCTGAGAACTCACTTATCAAGGAAGCTTGATGTGCATCCTTTTGGAAAGCACAGCAGATATTTTTATAAAGTGGATAATTTACATCTTTTGCAGACTTGGACACCTGCATGATAGCTCTCCTTAGAACACAGCTCACTAGCAGGAGAAACTAGATCAACCGTGTTGAAAAAATGGAATCCACACTTGGTTCTTTATTCCCCTCATTCCACCATGAGTTGGAATGAATACTGGGATCAGGTAGAACATTTCTGATTTTGGAACCAGAATGGAGGGACATGTCTATCAGGATACAAACTGTCACAGGATCCCAAGTCTGACAATGAGCTATTTAATTGTCTTGTTGAAGCCTGCAATTATCTCAGTTGGATAAATAGCATTATTTCACTTTTGTTCAGAAATTTTTTTTTAAAGACAGAAAAAGAAATTTGAAATGTGAATGTACCATAATATTGTAATGGACTGAATCTTTGGGGTATGGCCAAGTTTTACAGCCTATGCCCTAGGACACAGTATCTTTTAAATACCTTTGTAAAGGTGTCACTGAAAATTACTTCCTATTTAGGCTTGATATAAAACTGTCAATTGCACTGTGAAAAATTCCAAGCCTTTAAACTAGAGTTCTGAAAAAGGGTTCCCTTCTCAGCCCACCTTTTGTGAACCATTTCCTCTACTTCTCCAAGAGTTGATAGGATAAGGCAGGTGGTGGGCATTTCTTCAAAAAGAGAGAGGGAACAAGTACAGAGGAGACAGAAGTGGACTCCCTGAAGGAGCTGAGCAGAGGCTATGCAAATAAAATGGATATCAGGCCTCCCTGGTTTGGTTTTCCAAGAGGACCCTGGCTGTGATGCTGTGCATCCTGTTCTCCTGTTTTCTGGCACATCTCAGGCAGAACACCAGAGTGCAGGCAATGGGGGATCAATCAAATGACCTTTTCCACTGAATGTTTTCAAGTCAATGAGCAGTCAACCCAGAAGGGTTCCTGCTATAGCACTGGGAGCAGGTAGGTGTATGCATGTGTGTGTGTGTGTGTGTGTGTGTGTGTGTGTGTGAGAGAGAGAGAGAGAGAGAGAGAGAGAGAGAGAGAGAGAAAGAGAGAGAGCCTACCCTGTTTCCCTCAGGTAGCCTTGTGCTAACTGTAAAACTAATATTCCTGGGATGGGGCCAGGTAGAGCCATACTGTGGCAAAATAAGTGTAACTGGGTGATTGAATTAATAATGATTTCTATCCAAAGAATAAACCTTTAAATTTTTTCTTTTTAAAGAAGATGTAAGTAACAAGTCTTTAAAATCCAAGAACAAAGTAGAAAGCTGACATATAAAAACTTATTTTGTCATTGGAGAAATACTGAGAAGCAACCGGTTAGCATGAGAATATCTAAGAGAAGAGGGAAACCCAGGGAGGGAGTTGCCATGTGTTAAGACCATACTGTGCTTTGGAAATGGATTTCCCTCCTTGTGCCCCAGCAGCCACGAGGGAGAACACTGGGTGAGACAGCTCGATATGCCCCTGCTAATGGGCTGTCCTTCCCTCTTTGGAGTTTTCAGCAAGGGTTACCCCCAAACTACTTTTTCATATGCACATCATTTCATTGGTGTCCTTTGAGGGCTGACATCCAGGAAGTAACAGGTATCCAGTAGAGTGAGACTCTAAATTCCCTTTCAGAAGACAGTCCTGCTGGCCACCTGGTCCAGCAAACCCAGAGAGAAAAAGGAGCAACTGCAAATATTCTTGTAAAGCCAGCTCTGACCATCCAGTCCTGCCTTCCAAAGACAGTGACCCTACAGGTCCCACTGATTTGGTTGACATCCTTCTTCGTGCACTCTGTAACAGAGTATGAGAACAAAAGGTGGCAAGCAACCAAAAGGTTCTGGATGTGCAGCAGAGACAAGGGATGCTTCTAGCCTTCAGTATAGACAGAGGAGAGCTGGCTAGGACAACGGTCCACAGCACTGATCTGCAAGAACGTGTTGTCTTCAGGCCCATTGCGAAGAGACTCCCCAAAAAGGCTTGAGGAAGCTGAAGGCAAATCATACACTGGAAGAGAAAGAAGGCAAGAGGTCAGTAATGCCAGCCATGCTACACAGGCCAGTTGTGCAGTACAATAATATAGTTCCCTACATGCTGGCTGGAGGCCGATGAGGCCACAATGCTAGCCTGGTGTAAGCCCTTCAGCAGGTCCCTGTCCTTAGGAACTTAGTAGGCGAAGAAGGACTTGAAGGCTGCTGGCTAAAGCATGACTCAGCACAAAACATAATACAGGTTAAGTCGAAGAAAAATGTTCCAGGGAAGGATGAGGGTGGACTCAAAAAGGAGGCAACAATGAAGTTGAGACATCAAATAGAATGGGGTTCTCACAGATGGAGACATAGGGAAGAATATTCCAGAAGGAAGAAATGGAACAAAGATGGAGGGAGGTGTATGAGGGATCCAGGGGGCAAGCAAATATCAGGAGAAGAGTGTGTAGGAAAGATATGTGTGGGTAGGTCTGGAGAATGGATGGGCCTAAGCCACTGGGGCTCAAATGTCATACTTGAAAGAAGAGTTTGTTCTCTATGCCAGTTGAAACTATTTAAGGTACTTGAGCAAGAGGGGGTTGTACTTTGTCCCTAATTTTTGAAACACAGTGCTCAAGGTAGTTTGGAAAGCAGAACTATAGAGATGGAGAAGTGACTGGGAATTGTATGTCCATTGCCACAGTCTGGGAGAGATGATGGCAACTGAAACGGAGCGTGGGTGAGGCTGAGATGGGATGGAGATGGGAGCCCTTTCAGGGGTACCCCAGTGAGGATATGAGGTTCTCAGGTGCTGGTCAAGGCTGGTCCAGTCCAGTCACAGGAAACCCACCTGGTCTTTTCTGCCAGTTGGCCCGAGTTTCTAAGTCAGAGATACCCAACACACCTGCAATGCCTGAGTGAGTCGAGAAGGCTCTGTGGAAAACATCAAAGCCAGCCTGGCCCATGGACGTGGGGACCAGGCAGTCCTCAAAGGAAGGCACCACACTGCAGGAGCTGCCAGGCGGCACAGTTCTCTGGGAGTCGGGGTAATGCGGGGGGCAGAAGGTCTGCAGCTGTCCATAAAATCCTGAAATGCAAGCAAGGCACTGAGTTACTCCAGGGCACAAGATCATTCCATCCCAGCCAGAACCTCACTCAGCCTGGGTTCATATAAATAAATGCCTTTACCTCTTGGGGCCATTTGTAAAATCTTCCACACAAGCTTCTGGAACATAATTTTGGCTGAAGCTCTTTGACTGCAGAGGGATTTAAAAATGTGTAGGCTTACACAATTTTAGTTTGTACTTTAGTATCCAAAGCAGAAGGGCTTCTTACCTACCATCAATTCTTCAAGAATCCTGGATACCTAAAGCCTTACCTCCAGGGAATATTCCACCCCAGGTCTTCCCATCTGGTTTTGAATGCATCTTTGTTAATGTCCTTTATCCTATGTTTTATTTTGTTTTTCACATTTCGCAAAATCCTACAGAAAGCTCTTAAGAAGGCTCCTCTAACACACAAACAACAACAAAAACAACAAAATAGATCTATTTATCCATCTACCTGTCTTTCCAATGGATAAGATTCATATTTATATCTTCCTAGTTATTTTAAATAGGTACATAGGACTCCATGGTTGGATATACTATACTTCAAAATTATTATTGTTGATCTTTGTAGTAAGCTGGAAAACTGAAAGTGATTACATAATAAAAAATATGAGGAAAGACTTCTTAATACTTGAGAATTACCATCAATCTATTGATGATCCTACTTCATCTATCCTCTTCAATTTTTTCTTCCCCCCTCAATAAAAATTTTTCTTGGTTCCCTAAGTGGTCCTAGTCTGTGGCTCTCCAAAATCTTCCATAATTCCTTACCTTTTTCTTCTTTCTCTTTGCTTCACGATACATTTGAATCAAGAGATTATTTTCTTGTAGTGTAATGTGCTTTTAAAAATATAATAATGCAATTTTAATTCTACACTTTAATGGGGGGAGAGCCGCAGCTCTGCTGCTTTCTAATGCTACATTTCATTGTGCCTGTTTCCTCAACTGTAAAATGTGAATGTCATAGTCTACTTCACAGGGCTATTGTGAAGATTAAGTGAATCACTGGATAAGGAAGTCTACCTAGAAGTTTTAAAGTGCTTTAGAAATGTCAGTTTATTATTGATATTCCCATTCTGTCTTTGATAGAAAAAGTGAAGGCATTAATAGAGAAAGTGCCCCAGGATCTCATCCACAAACACTACATCATGGACATCACAGAACCAACTCATGGACTTTGGAGCCCTGGTCCTGAATGTCTTTTTCCACTAGATTTGCCTCTTCTTAGGGCTAGAAGGCTTTATGCCTGTAAAAGTAATCTGAGCCACCCGTGCACATGTAGGAGTGGTGCTATTTGGGTTGTTCTTAGCTGTCTTTAAGTAAAACCTGGATGCACTGATGCATCTGGCCTACTGCACTCACCAATCTTCTCACTGCTCTTCAGGACCCTCAAGTAGCCTGAGTAAGTGCTCAGATCACACTGGTCTGGGAGGTGTATTCTCTGGTTCCTATGAACATTAACAAAGAATGTGTACTTAACTGCTCCAGAGACACAGACAGGCCCCCTGGGAGTTTATGATCCAAAACAGATCAAATGCAGATTTATGCACAGGGTACACTCAGAAGCTAAAATAATAATATTTTTTATAAGCAGACAATAGCCCACCTTATATAGAATTGACAGAAAAAAAATCCACATAAGTTTTGGGGGATGATTTAATACTTGCTAGCAATATAGACTACGAAAATACCTAAGGAAATTCCATGTCCAGGAAGGAGAAGAAGGGGAAACTATTGACTGTTCTCTCTATGATTCCCAAAGGACTTTGTATGATCTCAATAGACAAGACAGGCAAAGGACCCAAATAGAACACTCATAAATATTCATATAATTGATCAACCAACATGAACAAACTGCCAACCCTCAAGCTATCAAAGAAATAAAAATCAAAACATCAATAAAATGCCACGTTCTACCTATCACATTAGCAAAGAGCTCTAGAAACTGTTGTTAGTGCTGATATATGAGTGCTGAAGAAGGTACAATGCCACAGACATTGCAAAAAGTGTATTTTCCCCAATTCTTTTGGAAAACAATTTTAAAACCTGTATGTAGAAATATCCCAAGAGTATACATTCTCTTGGATTTGGAATTTTACTTCTGAGAAAGTATCCTAAAAGTATAACTATGAAAAAATTCTTCATAGAGATAGACATCACATAGCTGGGTGCGGTGGCACACTCCTATACTCCCAGCAGCTTGGGAGGCTGAGGTAAGAGAATCACAAATTCAAAACCAGTCTCAGCAATTTTGTGAGGCCCTAAGCAACTTAGCAAGATCCTGTCTCTACATAAAATACAAACAAGGGGCTAGAGATGTGGCTCAGTGGATAAGTGCCCCTGGGTTCAATCCCTGGTATTATACAAAGAGAGAGAGAGAGAGAGAGAGAGAGAGAGAGAGAGAGAGAGAGAGAGAGAGAGAGAGAGAGAGAGAGAGAGAGAGAAAATGAATCATCATACTGCTAATGAGCATAACAGCATAACAGAAATTACAGGGGCCAAAATGACCACAAGAGAATGGTTAAGCAAAGAGTGGCACGCTTGCGTGATAGGAACATTAAATGGCCATTAAAAGAAATTTTATAGGGAGTATTTAACAACATGGAAAAATCATTATAAGATTCAGATTTTTTTTTAAAAGCAAGATACAAAATTGAACATAAAGATTAGGCTCAGTCATGTAGAAGTGTCCACAGCATAAAAATTACAAAATGTCACGTCTCTAGATATTTTTTTGCCTTTATATTTTCCTGAATTTTAATAATGGTGAAGAGCAAGTACTGGAGCCAGACTTCCTGGGTTCATATCCAAGCTCAACTATGTAACTGTGATCTTGGTAAACTATTTAGCCTCTTGAAGAGTCTCTGTTTCCTAATTGGTAAAATGGGATTAACAGCAGTAAGTACAGCTCAGTGGGTTATTATGAAGATTGAATGAGTTAATATTTAAATATTATATAATTTTTATCACTAATTAATAATTTTATATATTTTAATAATACAATTCACATAATGTATATATTTGCTGAACAAGTAAAATAAAATGCAAAATTGTTTTTCAATGATAAAGTTCTCGAAAATAAGGTAAATTTTATTAAGGAAAATGAAATTTCAAAAAAAAGCAATTGAGTCCTTCAACAATAACCAAATATAAGAATAGACACAACAGAAGGCATGTGGCACAACCCCAATATGGGATTAAGATTTCAACATTATATTTTTAAAAGGAGACTATACTCCAAGAAAATGGAATATTTTTGGTCCTTCAGAGACCTGAAGCTATATTCTTCTTGCCTATGGTTCCTAGATCCTGCACTAATTGACCCACATCCACTATTTGACACATGCACTAGTGAGAGTCCAAAACAGTAACAAGTCTGAGTGGTTTGAAGGAACCAGAAATTGAAGCTGTGTGGTTTGGGGAGTTCCTTGAATTGATCTTGACTTTGGATACCTGTTTGTTAGACACATGTAAACACAGCATACTCATTAGGAGGAAGGCACTTCCATGAACCATTCGTAGTTGACCTATTACAATGTAATCTCTCCTCAATGAGCAAAATAATGATATTTGCTATCTATACGCCTATGTGGCTCTCAAAATCATCACCCATAAATTCCCTGATAGCAGTCCTCAGTGTGATATTCTCCAAGAAGAGAAGACATTTTCCACTAAATTCCCCCAACTCCCCAAATAGGGAGATTAATCATTCAGAGACAGTGATAGAGACATTCACTAGCCTTTTGTGAAAACCAATCCATTCTCCCCTTCTTATCTTCTTTCCTATTTCTGAGAGTGATCAGAGATGTCATATGGTTCCAATCTATATTTGGGTGTTACAGTGTGTGTAAGTTTAAAAGGTCTGTGACATGGTAAAATATATGTAAGGTTGTTCAATATTAAACCCAACTTTCTGGACTCTATCTCCCAGTCTGCATTTGAGTGAGGAGGGCAAAGTAGACTGTAATTCCTGTCTCTGGGTATCTTGGCCGATGTGAGAAACTGTTAAAACCAGAATGGCCTCACAGTATGTTTTATCACTCTAACAGCCAACCCAAGAAAAGAAAATCTTCCTTGTTAAATCCTTCCAAGTAACCAGTTACTAGAGATGCCAAATGCACTGGTGTGGATGGCTGTGGTCACTCAAAATCAAAGAGTTTTAACACATTCTCTTCCAGCATATTTCCATAAAACTAATGGAATTTTTGAAAAATTCCATTAGGATCTTGCCACTCACACAAACCTAGAGAAGGAAGGTCTAATACATTTTCTGATGAATGGTTCCTGTATTTCAGTGGTTGGATTTCATGTGGCAAGTTTGGAAGGAACATGACTTCTCGGACCCAAAGCAAAATGAGGCAAGATGTTAACACATTTCGTGAGCCTGAAACCTAAGAGTGGTGGCAGGGTCAGCCAATCTGTCAGGCAGTCAGTCAACAGTAGCTGTTAAGTGCCAGTAAGGGCACTGTTGGAGAGACCAAAGAAACCAAAGGTGATACCTTGTCCTGGAGGACTGATGATATAGTTGGAGTGAGAACACACACATTTATTAATAGCAAATGATCGTACACATAAACATAAGTTGGCAATAAATGTTAGTTGTCACATTTAGTTCCAAAATCATCCTCCTCCTTCACTCAGAAGTTATTTTACCCCCAAGATTGGAAGAGGGGAGGAATTTGCAAATAAACTCATCCTACCTAAATTGTGGTTCTTGAAGATCACGGAGAATCAATCCAGTCCCCTCCTGGTCTCAATTTTGAGGAGTTATTTTTCCCCTTCTAAAAATGAACTTGCTTTTCTAATTATAAAAATACTTAGTGCTAATTATAACAACTAGAAAATGTCAACTAGTATAAATAAAAAGAGGAAAAAAAATCATCTTTATTTCCATGATCCAGAAATGGCCAGATACATATATACAAGACTGAAAATTATATATTCAATCATATGGTAATATATAGTCAATTATATGGTT